ACACACACACACACACACACACACACACACACACACACACACACACACACACACACACACACACGTACAAGCATACTCAACAGCACCATGTACCTTCGATTCCAGCCAATTTGCAGGAGCACGGCTTCAACTTCTTCATCACCCAGCATCAGCAGCGCCATGGTGTGCCTCTGCTGCCAACTGGCCGTCCGCCTTGGTGCGCCGCAAGCCGTGACAGATATGCGCTTGCGACACCATGAAAATTATTGCGGCAGTGCGGGTTGCTGGCTGGTTGTTGTTGCCTGCTGTTGTTGTTGGTTGTTGTGGGTTGACATGATTGTGTTCTCTTCTGTCTGTGTTCTGTTCCTTCCATCCTCATACCTCGCACGCCTGCCCCGTCCCCCCTCTCATCCACGCAGTCACCCCTCCCTTCCACTCGACCGTCCACCGCACGTTTCAGCTTGTGTAACGTGTATTCGACGGACTGCATGTATGTAGAACATACATAGTAATGTAACACAAAGAAGCAGCGCCACCTGCGCGAATGGGAAGCAGCAAGGCACTGCAACAAAGCGAGTAACAAAAACACACAGCGCAGCAAGAGCAGAAAACAACGGGGCGGCAGGCTCAGCCCCAAGCAACAGCACCGCCAGCTGGACACATACACGCGCGCACACGCGCGCACATGAAACCCAATAACATCCACGTCGCATCAAGCCGCATCACTCACACACACACACACACACACACACACACACACACACACACACACACACACACACACACACACAAACACAAACACACAAACACACAAACGCACAAACAAACACACAAACACAATTCCATCACATCTGCATCACTACTTGGTGGCCTGCCCCATGATGATGTTGTTTGCGAGCCATTCCAATGACAGGCCGTGGTGCGGGACGGCCTTTGTGAACCGCTCAATCTCCGTCTCGTGCCAGTCAAACTCGACAATGGCCTCCTCTGTCTGGCGCGTGAGCTTGCAGCCGTCGCCGTAGCTTGTCCAGAGCGGGCTGATCATGAGCGCCGCCAGGTACTTGAGCGAGACGCGCGGCGGGCACACGTGCTCGAGGAAGATGAGCTTGCCGCCCGGCTTCAGTAGCCGGTAGGCCTCGTGCAGGGTCTCGCGCAGGTCCTTGACGGAGCAGAGCACGAGCACAAACACAATGGCGTCGTACTGTTGCGTGGCGACGGCGTCGCTGGGGAAGAAGTCGTTGATGGTGTGGATGGGGAAACGGGCGGTGCCGGACGCCTCATTCACGCCCTCCTCCAGCTTCTCGTACAGCCGCTCATTTGGCTCAAGCATGGTCAAGCTGTCGCGTCATGCATGTGTTGGAGTGTGCGCATGTATGCGTATGAGAGGTGAAAAAGCGTCAAAATTTTGTCTGGATGTGGCTCGTACAACACCATGGCTCACCCTGGTGCATGCACATAACATTACGACAAACAACACACAACAACAGCACCAGCAGCACCAGCACCAGCACCAGCACCAGCAGTAGCAGTAGCAGCAACCACGAGAAATCATAGGGCACTCACTCACTCACTCACTCGCACAGATATACAAACACGTGCACATGCACATGCACACATGCACACATGCACACAAACACGCATGAACCAATAATGTCACACCTTTCAATGTCTTTGCCAAGCTGTGGGTCTGTGTAGTGCTTGAGGTTGACGCCTGTTCCAGAGCCTACCTCGAGCACATGGCCCGTGAGCCCGCTGGAGAAGAGCTCTCGCTTGTACACCTTCAAGGACTTGTCCACTTCATCGCCTAGCGGAGATCAAGGAGTAAGATGGCGCGAGTGTGGGTGAGCGTGTGGGTGAGCGTGTGGGTGAGCGTGTGGGTGAGTGAGTGGGTGAGTGAGTGGGTCATGGCATGATGACTTTGCGTGTGGATCACATATTGTAAGGCACGTTCGCACAACGCTATCCTTCCGCAGTTGTAGACAACGTGCCCGCGCACACACTCACATGTACACAAACACACACACGCACACAAACACACGCACACAAACACACGCACACAAACACACGCACACAAACACACACTCACAGCCACAACTCAACACGCAACCACACACCACACGAAACACTCTCGCACACAAACACCCACACAAACACTCACATGCCAACTCACTCATGGACAGCCAGATACGGGCAAACACCCAATCGGCGATGTTGCGGTTCAAGCGGCACACCACGGCGCCCAGCGCGAGCGCCCCCACCGCTGCGCCTCCCACCGCTCCAAGCACATTGGTCGCCCACTCTGCACCGCTCATGGCTCTCTCTTGCTTGTGTGTTGTCGATCTTGTTGCCTGCTTCTGTGGTGTTGGTGCTGTTGATGAGCACTGTTGGCTTGCTGATGTGACAGTGTGAAATGTGCTTGTGTTCACAAGCTGAAGCAATCAACGTCAAGGCAGAGCGCACTGAAATCAGTGCGGGATTCTTCGGGCGAACGAACCACCCGATGGCAACTGCCACATCGCCTGCGACAGCATGAATTATTCTCGAGGGTGCCGCTTCTGACAGCTGAGCGCAAATGCTATGGTTGGAGTCGGAAAAATCCGCGTTCACCGTATTCAGGTATTCTTGGCGACGAACACAAGGAAAAACTGCCACACCACAGTAAGCAAGGAAACACCACAACACACGAGGGCGTGCGTGGCACTCGGTCACTCGCTGTTTTTGTGTATTTCCCCTTATCACCCCTCGAAGATACAAACCAACCAACCAACCAACCAACCAACCAACAACCCTCTTCTCCTCCTCCTCCCCCCTTCCCCGCTCGGCTTATCACAACACACACGACATGTCTGCGATTGAGACGCTCAACCCAAAGGCCGAGGTTGCCCGCGCAGCGTTTGCGCTGCAGCTCAACACGAGCGCTGCTCGCGGTCTCCAGGATGTGCTTTCCTCCAACCTCGGCCCAAAGGGCACCATGAAGATGCTTGTCAGTGGTGCCGGTGACATCAAGATCACAAAGGATGGCAACGTCCTTCTCCACGACATGGTCAGTGGGCGTGAGCATGCGTATGATCCTTGTGTGTGAGCCTTACATGCGTATGTGTGTGCAAACTTGAACGAGCCGTGCTTGTATGCTTGTTCACCACCGTGCATGTGTGCTTGTGTTCCCCTGCTCGATTTGTGCGCCGCCATTGGCAGCGACGCCACACATTCACCACCCACTTGCAGTTGATTCTCAACATCGTCTTCTTGAAGCCGCTTCGATCGCTCACCTTTGTCTCGATCTGTCGTGCTCAACTGCGTGTGTGTGTGTTTCATTCGATTTCTACCCGCGTAGCAAATCCAACACCCCACAGCTTCGCTGATCGCAAGAGCGGCGACCGCACAGGACGACATCACGGGCGATGGCACCACATCCAACGTGCTCCTCATTGGCGAGCTGCTTAAGCAAGCCGACCTCTACATCTCCGAGGTGCGTTTGTTCGCTTGTGTTTGCTATGGAGGTTGCCTACATGGACTTTTTCGGGCATCACAACATGTGGTGCAATGCAAGACACTCGTGCGCCTCTAGCGGCGGGGACTTCCTCGTACACCTTTGGCTGCTTCCTCTCAATTCCCACGCAGACACCGCTTGCACCCCAGCCAGTCTCACTGTACCTTGTCGACCTTTCCACTTTTATGCACCACCTCCTCCTCCTCCACCTTAGGGATCCCATCCTCGTCACATCACCGATGGCTTCGAGCAAGCCAAGGCAGAAAGCCTTCGTGTGCTTGAGGAGATTAAGCAACAGCGCGGCAGCATCGATAGGGATACGCTCATCTCCGTCGCTCGCACTTCCCTCCGCACCAAGCTCGAGACCGCCCTCGCAGACAGGCTCACGGAGGTGAGCAGCACTCGCGCTGTTTTTCTGTTTTGTGGTTCTGTGATGTGGCGCTTCCTTGCTGTGGTGGTGTACACGTGCGTTGCACTCGTGTGTTTAGCTGTGTTGTGATTGCCGTGTTTCTCATGCGTTCAACCTACCTTGTCAACCGCCTTCTCACTCTTTTCGTGTTCGCTCCGGCCATAATACTCTCCTTTGTCACATCACGAACAATTAACAGGATCTTGTGGACGCAGTGCTGACCATTCGCCAAGAGGGGCAGCCGCTGGACTTGTTCATGATTGAGATTATGGACATGCAGCACAAGACAGAGACCGACACAAAGCTTGTCAAGGGCATTGTCATGGACCACGGTGCTCGCCACCCCGACATGCCAAAGTACCTTGAGAACTGCTACATCCTCACCTGCAACGTCTCCCTCGAATACGAAAAGACGTAAGTCCGCCTCGTGCTTGCTGTTGTGCTCATGGCGCATATCCTTTGTGTTCCTTCTCCTTGTTATTAGTTTGTGTGTGTGTGTGTATGTTGGCTCGTGTTGCGGATGTGATGAAGAACTGAGACGGGCGGACAGAACGTGGCTGTACACCACATTTAATCCATGTTGATACTGTCTCTTTTGCTGATTCGTTGTCGAGCCTCGTATCGTGTGTGTGTGTATGTGTTTGTATTGTTGTGTTTCTTTCTTTTTGTGTGCTGTTTTGTTTTTGTTTGTGTCCTTCTTTCCTGGCTTTTCTTGTGCCCAACCTAGCCATTTTATGTCATGGCACTGCCTCGGCTGATTTCACCATCACCGCTCGCCACACTCACGCTAAACGCCTATCTACCCTCGACACACACACACACACACACAGCGAGGTCAACTCTGGCTTCTTCTACAAGACGGCTGCGGATCGGGAAAAGATGGTGGCCGCCGAGCGCAAGTTCATTGACGACCGCGTGAGGAAAATCATCGAGTTGAAGAAGAAGGTGTGCGATGGTACGGACAAGCAGTTTGTTGTCCTCAACCAGAAGGGTATTGACCCAATCTCCCTCACCATGCTGGCCAAGGAGAACATCCTCGCCCTCCGCCGTGCAAAGCGCCGTAACATGGAGAGGTGCGTTACGTGCGCTATCACGCCACCCAACTACACGCACGACCGTCTGTTGTGTTCCGTTTTTGATTTGTGTGTGTGTGCATGTGCTCCAACAGCAAGTGTCCCTGATGAACAAAATAACACAGACCTGTACTGAGAGAGTCAACTTCTCGTGCAGACAACCTTTATTGCCTTTTATTTCTGAGACATTGCAAGCGCCCGTTTCTTTGTGGAATGTATTTGGTCCGTGCTTCAGCACTGTTTTCAATTTTGAACATCACCCTTCTCACCTACGTCGTCACACACATGTTTGCACTTTGCCCGTCTTTCTCTCTCTCTCTGTGCTCCTTATGCTTTTCCTGGTTTTTTTTTTTTGCCTCGTTGCATCATGCGTTTTGTGCAAATGTGCAGGTTGACCCGTGCGTGCGGCGGCACTGCAATGAACTCTGTGGAGGAGCTTGACGAGTCCTGCCTTGGTTACGCCGGTGTTGTGTATGAGCACGTGCTTGGCGAGCAGAAGTTCACCTTTGTGGAGAAGGTCAAGGACCCCCGTTCCGTGACGATGCTGATCAAGGGCCCCAACAACTTTACCATCAAGCAGATTAAGGAGGCCATCCGGGACGGCCTGCGCGCCATCAAGAACGCCGTTGAGGACGACTGCGTTGTCCCCGGTGCCGCCGCATTTGAGCTCACGGCACACAAGGCGCTCATGACCTTCAAGTCGGAGGTCAAGGGCCAGGCCCGCCTTGGCGTGCAGGCGTTTGCCGATGCTCTTCTGGTCATTCCGAAGACGCTCGCCAAGAACGCCGGCTACGACTCACAGGCAACACTGGTCAAGCTTCAGGTACACGATGTGTAGCGTTTCGTGTGTCTGAACATGCTTGTGTGTGTGTGATAATGCTTTGCGTGTGTGCCCGAGTGCATTTACTTTTTTTTTTTTTGGGCTCACCACGTCCACTGTGTTTGCGTCATTCCCTCTGTGTTAACTTTTTGTTTCGACAGGAGGAGGCGCAAAACAGCGATGAGCCCATTGGTATTGATCTCAGCAACGGCGAGGCATGCTTGCCTGCTGAGGAGGGTATCCTGGATAACTACCGTGTCAAGAGGCAACTCCTGCAGTCTTGGTGAGTGTGATTGCAGAATTTTGTGTGCGCTTGGTTGTTGTATGCTCGCCATCTGTGTGTGCGCGTGTGGGCAGTCGTTATTGTTGTTGTTGTTGTTGTTGTTCCAAGCGCCCGTAGTTCGTTTCTGCTGTTTGTTTCTGCTGCTTGCATCTCTCGTGCAGCTGCATTACCAAACGCGTGCCTGTGTCTCGCCTCGTGTTCCAACAACCGCTCACATCACGTTACCCCTTGCCGCCTCTGCCACCGTTTTTGACAACACAAACAGCACGGTGATTGCCAGCAACTTGTTGCTCGTGGACGAGGTGATGCGTGCTGGCATGTCGTCTCTGAAGGGCTGAGGCGAGTGCTCCCGCTGATGCTTTACTGCGGCCTCGCGCGTCCTGGTTCAGGCGCCCTCCAGTCATGCTCTACTTCACCCCTTCTTTCTCTCTTTTTCCCCTCTTCCCCTTTCCTCCCTTTTTCTCTTTTTGGCCCTACCTTGGTTAGTAGTGTGAAACCCTCTACCTCTACCTCCCCCTCCCTTGTGGTGCTGCATTGTTGTGGTGTGACATAGGCCCGCCCTGCTTCTTTCTGTCTTTGATGATGAGCGACCAAAAGGTGTTGTTATTTTTGGTGGGTGCAGGGTTCGGATTACATAACAGCAAAGCCACATCACTCGTTGACATTGTGAACACACCCAGAACGAAAGAAAGAGAACACACACACACACACACACACACACACACACACGGCTAGTCGAATAGGTCTGCCTCATCATCATCATCATCATCATCATCATCATCACCATCACCATCGTCGTCGTCGTCAATGTCTTCCCAGTCTGAGTCGCCATCGTCCTCGGCCACGTCCTGGTCACCACCGTCAGCCACAACCGCCTTGGACTGGAGGTCGCTGGCAAGGTGGTCGTCATCGCCGTCCTCATTCGCACCCCCCTCAGTGCCTTCCTCTTCCTCGATGGTGCCCAAGTCACCCACCTCATCTGCACCGCTCTCTGCCTCCGCCTGTGCCTGTGCCTCCGCCTCTGCCCGTCGCCTGGCCCTCGCTGCCTGTTCTTCTTCCCGCATGGCCTGCTCTTGCTGGCGGAAGTATGTTCCTGCACATTGGAGGAGATGATAAGTAACAAAGCGGGCACATGGGAAAGGCATCATGGTTGGTAAACGGCGCCATGCACACAAGCGCGTGTGTGTGTGTGTGTGTGTGTGTGTGTGTGTGTGTGTGTGTGTGTGTGTGTGTGTGTGTGTGTGTGTGTTTGTGTGTGTGTTTGTGTGTGTGTGTGTGTGTGTGTGTGTGTGTGTGTGTGTGTGTAGAACAAAGTAATCTGCGCCAACAACCAAGAGGCAGGCAGGCAGCCGAGATGGACATGCCGGCAGATGAACGCACTTCTCTCGCGCTCGCGCATGTTGAAGAGCATCCGTTGTTCATCTGTTTCCTGCTTGAGCAGTTCATCCTTTGAGGGACCCCTGACAAGCGTACAAGCAACGCACGTTAAGTTGAAAACACAAAGTGAGAGTGTGTGAGCAACATACACAAACGCGGCACACACACACACACACACACACACACACACACACACATGAACGAGCAAGCGTGGGTGGATGCAATGGACACGGAACAAAGCACTTGGCGCGCGTACTCTGGCACGATGTCTTCCTCGCGTTTGCCACACTTGGCGCACACGTCGTTCTTCTTTGCACAGGGTCCACACACGGTGTGATACGCGATCTTGACTGCCTTTTCGTGGCACAAGTTGCTGTGAACAGTGTTGAAGCAAGGTGAGCTTGGCATCGAGGGTGGTAGCACTGCCGTTGATTGGGAAGCACAGCAACGAGAGTGCAAAACACTGTTGGGAAGCGCGCCGTCACCAACACAAGCACTTCTCTTTCCTGCCCCCCCCACACATACATACACAGGCACAGAGACACACAAAGTAACACGCACACACACCCACAGACAGACACACCCACAGACAGACACATCCACACACACCCCGACAGACAGACACACCCACGCACACACACACACCGACAGACAGACAGACAGACACACACACCCACGCACACACACACACACACGCACACACACACACACACACACGCACACACACACACACACGCACGCACACACGCACACACACACACACACGCACACACACACACACCGCGCGCGCGCACGCAATCACCCTCACCAGCGGCCGAGGGTGGTTCGGGGCTTGTATTTGCCAAACTGTTTCCGCCATTCAATCTTCTCGTAGCAGCGTGGGCACACGTTTGATGTTTGGGCTGTTCGGACCTCCTTCATTCGCTTCGACTCGCCATACTTGGCTGCCTTGTAGGCCACCCTGTTCTGATGCTTCTGGCTCTTCTTCGCATTGCCGCCCTTGCGCCCCACTGCATACGATGCAAGCGTGTCAGCACACACGATTTTGATCGGTTGACGGGTTGGGGAAAGATCGGACGGAGCAATCACAGAGTGCAACAGCTAGAAGATCAATACGAGCGGGTGAACGGGGTTGTGAACACCGAGATCGGTGCACGCACATCACACCATACCCACACACATCACATCGCACGCATCGCACACATCGCACACCACTCACTTGTTGGTGGTCCACGTGCTGTGCTGATGATGTTGTTCTTGGTGTGCTTCTCTCCTTTCCCCTTTGTGTGTGGTGTTTTCGCTGACTCAGCACTTCGCATCGCCAAACCACGAATAAATTCAAGGCATTTCGCCCAACGCGTCCTCCTTCTTCTCGTTGTCCTGCCTGCCTGCCTTCTTGGCTGCCGTTGTGCTGCCGTTGCTGGTGGTGGTGTGTTGGGCGAAACGAAAGCCAAGCAAGCAGCGAAAGCAATTTCGCCCTGCCTGCCTTCGTCCCCCAAGCTGCCAGACGAATCGACCAAGAAGACGCTTGGTGAGTGCTACCC